TTGAGCCAAATCGAATTCAAGCGTTGTTCGTCTTGGTGGGGCATTTTATGGCTCCCAATGGTCAGTGCCGGTGCTTCCTTTGGAGAACTGTGACTTCCTGTTAAACTATACAGTAGCCGGAGCTTTGTTTGCTTTGACAAGGGTCTACAGGCCTCACCAAGCTAGGACTTGTAGGCCTCTGGCAAATTTGCGAAATGCCTCCCCTAAACCGAACAGTGCTACGATTACGAGTGGCATTAGACAGAGTGGCGCATTCTAGACGGTGACTGATCAGAGCATTGACGTTCAGATTTTTTTCCTTAATATTTTCCTACCTTTCTCGAATTCCATAGTCACTCTTGAGTTGTGATGTACTCTTCAAATCTGATCGTTCAAGTTTCCGAGGTATAGACCGGGAATACACGTTGAGGTATGCAACAAAAGCGGCATTGCAAATGGGGACGCGTGAGCGAAATTTGCACCAAGACCTTATTGGTGCAAATGGTGGTTTGACCTGTAACTGCTATGGGCGCCTAGCCGCACCACGGGTTCTTGAAAGACTTTGTAATGTGCAAGTTTGTCAGAATACAAATTTTTAGGTGATTGTGCTGCCCAGTGATAAAGCTATCGCTCTCGCAAATGTAGACATTGCGGTCGTCAAACACATGCTTTGGCACGTTAGGAATGACACATTCCTGATAAGTGAGACATTACCGCTTACTTTGGTGAAGTATCTGCAGTAACTTATGCTAAAATGTATTACTCGAACTTTGACGTGTTGCTTTGAAGGAGTTGGATTCGAATGAGCGAGAAATTCTTACGCGAGCATTGATGATCCGCCTGTCATGTACGCAAATGCGGCAAGTGTTGTTCATGGCGAGAAGAGTCGCGAAACAGTTCAATAAGTAAGAGGTTTTCTCGTCTTTCAAGACTGAACTTCAGGCTAACTGTCAGATTCCAGGTACAAGGAGACCGATTTGATAAGATATATCCAGGATAAAATGGAAGAGATCGGTTGCGTTCTCTTTGGTATGAACAAAGGTTTGGTCTTCCAGGTATGTTTCTGGACGTTTTGTTTTCGTCCTGAATGGCGTCCTAGCTTTTGATACATTACCAAAGACTACATTACCAGCGATAGCAGCCATTAATTCCACTGCCTAAGCTTAGAGGCACGCCCAGCGTTGACTTGATGCGCAGACGCCTTCTTTTGACATGGGAGTCCGTCCGCACACATGGACGCTATACTACCTCCACAGCCTGAAGTACGTGAAGGAAACCTGCTCGCAGCCAGGCCATTGCTCCGCCCACTGGTCACGACAGCGCCCAACTTTCATTTTTGACCGCTAGTTGATGGTGCGGTTGCTCCGCTTCAAACTCTCTCCACTTCGAATGGTGAGAATGAGGTGATAAGGAGAAAGGGATAACACCAAAAAGCGTAACTCGTCCGACTACGCCCTTCCTTCCCCTTATGCACGTAGAAGCGCTATTCATCATGGGGCTGTATGATGAAGAATAAATTCTTCGCCGCTGATCAATCTCGTTGTGGGATGCGGCACGCGTTCTACTTCCATACCGAATCGTGTTGGCTTATGGAAACTATTACAAGCTACTACGGTCCAGCCGGTGTAATCGAGTCAGCGTTCTTATCTCCAGACGGATCTGACCCCAGTCTACTGTGCTCGGAAGGTAGAAGGCTTGTTCGGCGTGGGCGGGAAGTGATGCGGGATTTCACTCCCAGACCGCGCACGTGATAAGCGTGCCACTTGTCACTTCACCACCTTCGCATCATGAGGCTCCTTATGGGATGAAATATGATACTTTTTCCCTGAAGACTGGCTTCCTTGAGGATTCCTGCTCGTACGCCGGACGGTGGGACGGTGTACACCATGGAATTAATAGCGGAGAGGGGAGAAGGAACGTACCAAAATTAGAGAAAGTTTTGATTGTAAACTTTTCCTGTTTCAGAGGAGCTCTATAGACCCACCCTGCGGCACCCATCGGTTCACGGTAGCTAGATTCGCATCAACTAGGAATATAAGAGAGAGTCCTTCCGAGAAAGTTTGACTGCATGATCATGATGTCCCTGTGCTGATAATGTTTTCGCAGCGGGTATGTGGCAAGAGAATCGTAATTCGCCGCGCCAGTGGGCGTCGCGTGCGACGTCGCGCCTGCTAATGACGACGATTTCAGGTGGTATTGGTCGAGAATGTATGACCAAAAATAGACATAAGTGTCTACCATGTCCTTGTCTACATGAAATCCGATGCTCCAATCGAAAGGGTAGTGCAAATTAAGGAAACTCGCGCCCATTGCCGCGCGACGAAGCGGCAATTCACGATTCTCTTGCCCATCTCCCACTCGCAGCACTGAATAAATATCTGTAGCGGCGATGCGCAGATACCGAAGCGGCAGGAGCTTCTGAAGTGATTGTTTTAGCGGTCTGACTTCTTCTTTGGTAAAAAGGTTCGACTTCCAATAAGACACGTTTCTATGGGTACTACTTGCTGTTCTCATTATAAAAGGATAAACATTCCACATTGGCTTAGAGGGGGTATTTTCCTAGTGTGGCAGTTTCTCTTACTAGTTCCTGTTGACTTACACGTCGCTCTTGCAAGACCTGCAGACTCTGGTGAAGTGTATACGATGCTTCTGCTATTGCATAGCTTTCCATAGAAAGCGTCGACAGTAAGCGACTTCTGCAGAATGCTCACACCAAGCCGAACTGCGCTCACTACTGGACTGGGACCTCGAGTTCCTTCACCGTAGATCGTAGGCGTACCAGTGCGTCATCTTGTCAACGTGCTCAACACATCTTTCATTTAGACTTAAGAAGTAACTAGAAACTTTATATTTACTACTAAAGAGATCTTCCAGATGGTGTTTACTCGCCGTTTTGTTCGTGATCAAAGTGGCATGCAGTTGTATCCCCCATGCGTTTGCCGACTGTGCGTGGACAAAGAGCTGCCTCGTTACTCGGTTTGTGGAGTTGTTCGTTCTCATTTTGCTATTGATGGTCCCATCAAAATGAATGATAATCCTTGTCTAATTTTCAGAGTGACCGTCGGAAACGCGCCTTCGTCGCTTATGCTCATCCAGTTGTTCTTCACATTTTGGAGCATCTTTCAGCAGGGCAATTGCCTCAACATGTGCGTGGGAAATACTTGCTTTTCGAGAGAGAATCAAAGAGAACACTGTCAAATGCACAAAAATATTTTTTGTGCGTTTGACGGTGTTCCACTGCGACTCAAGGACGAGGCATGACGAATATACGACATCGAAAAAAAAACTGGGAAAATGTTGGGATCTGGCTGAATAGAGTAGTAGTAGTAGTAAGTAGTAGTTGAGCAGGTAGTCGAATTTTAAGTCATTTTGTTGGGTGAATTGACGGTGTATCTTAGGAATCCCACCTAGAAGGAAAGTACGACCCTCTTCCACACCCCTGCCTATGATCTGGGCGATCCCACAATGATCCACCATTGAGCGAGAAGGGGAAGTAGATCTAGTGTTCAATCACCCATAAACAAAGTAGAAGATTTATCACAATTGCCACGACAAGTGGGTGTAGCGCTGCGAAGACGGGAAATCATCGACCGCCCTCCCCTCTCCTTCCATGCATACCGAACCTGATTGGGATTCCTGCAGGCGAAAGTCAAGTACCAGTCTCTGCTGAAATAAGAAAAAAACTGGCAGACGCAACTCAATCCAGGATTCGGATGAGCTCAGTCTTTGCGCGGGTGAATAGACGTGTCGTTGAGGCTGGATTTGACCGCGGAGCCATCCGTTTTTTTCCGTTTGTGTTTCCTTTTCGTTTGACCAAGGCGACACGAACTGTAGCATAGGCGTTTCATATCTAATGGTTGGTTCATCACGTCGTTGTCTCGTAACCCTCTTAAAAACGAAGGAGACCGGCCCTGAGGATGGCGCCAAACGCCCAGGCCTCACTGAACACGCCACCATCATCCGCTGCGAACAAGACTAAGTACGATGAGGTGACTAACGCAGTATATGGGGATTGAGGTATCTGGCTCGTTTCCTTCTGGGCTCGCATGCTAGGCTTGAGTTTCTCGTCTAAATAAAGCGTGTCCTTTCTCAGTTACGCTCTTGCGACAGATCTCATGCAAGTGGCATAGCGCGTGTGCAGTTGATGGACTCCGTTTTCAAGAATTGTTTCAATGGCCTCAAAAACAATGTACCGACGCTCATATGACCTTGTGGAACTGAGGTTCATCTCTTTGTGACTTAATCCTATTTTTTTTGGAATAGCTTCTGACGTTATATGTAAGTTGCGTTAGACCTGATGTTGGAAGACATGGGGATTTTTCAACTTTTCCGCCGGAATGCCATCGCGTCTGCCTTGGGAGATCAGGCATGGCAGTTAGAGGTTTGTTTCTTCTTTCCAGCGTTGCATGAATAGGGCCTACTTGCGTTCTTATGGCGTCGTTTACCGATATTTACACCCCATTTAGGAAGCACTAGGATTTGGAGCGTACAACGCTAAAGTGTGTCCTAGGCCAGAGTTTTTCAATGAAACTGAAACTGGTAAGAATTTTCGTTATTATGGGGTGCTGGTCAGGAGATCCATGTTGCGACGATGCGACGAACTGGCAAAGAAGTCAATTCTAGTGCATATCGCGAGTAGCGGCGAAAGAGGCGTTGCAGTGTTCAGTATTCACACGGGAACCTAATTGATTTAAAGTATTAGTGCCAGGCTTGCTGGATTGTGCCCACTGAACTAGTTAAGGGAAGTTCTTGGTGAGCGCGCGATGCAGCGACTCAGGAGTGACTATATACATCTAGTCTACATGCTGCTCTATCTGTTTTTCAAAACAATCAGATCTTGTTAATCGCTTGCAGCGTCGCACCGTCGCAATGTGGATCTCCTGACCGACACCATAATTTGAAAGCTCCATATTGTAGCAGCTATTTATAATTCAGAAAGCATTCATCGACCAGACTGCACTCGACCATGGGATACTACAACGCAGTTGTGTGCATGCTCCGAGCCTGTGCCATCGCACCACGAATCAACTGCCCCACCTACTGAATCAACTCATCCGAGGTCTAGAATGAGAGCGTGAGTAAGGAAAAGCTCATCTCAATGACTTGCAATGAAATTATTGGGGGAACGGAAGAATTTTCGGGAGGAGATATTCGCCGTTTTGGTGGGCGTGGCCAGCGATGTCCCTGTCGCGTGCGGCAATTGGTTAGTCGCATATGCGATGTTCTAATCTCACCTTGTTCTAACCTTGATTACTCGAACAAAGAGATTATTAGCTCAAGATGTTAGCTTCATTGTCCTTAAGGAACGTTCTTACTCGAATCTTGCTCAAACTGCCTCGCCCACTGCCGCACGATGCGCCCAGCGCGACGTCGCGTCGAATACGATTGTCTTGACCTCTCCGCAAATTTCATGGTTTGGTTTACAGGACGTCGTTACGTGATATGCCGGAGGCTTCTGCTGCATGTTACGCAGAGTTTTTGAATGAGTCAGAAGATCGAGAAGAACATCCTTCACTCCCTTCGTTTAACGCAAGTGGAGATGACGAACCTACAACAAGTAACGCACAGGCAGCATCGACATCCCTTATTAACTCTATAGGTTCGTTTCCAAATCTGCAACTCATTTCGGTAGTCCAGCATGAAAAGTAAGTAAAGTAGTAAATTTCCATTAGCGTTTACGAAAAAAAGTCCTTGTTAACAGTAGGTCTGATTATGGAAGGAGCAAGTGACATGCTTATCTGACGCCCCTTTCGAGGGTCAAATCCCGGATCGGCTCCCGTCCAGGCCAACCTAACATTTTACCTTGTGGGGCGGCAAATCGGTACCAGACCCGTTAGGCAGGCTTTAAGTTGCGCATCGGAGGCCTTCGCAGGTCTTTGTATCGCCCTTTATGGCCCATACCGCACTCAGTCAGCACCAACGATCCAGAATGTTAGTAGAAAACGTACAGCGCTCCAAAAAGGGCATGATAACCTGCAAAAGGCAAGCTCACCTTCTTTACTTGTACAGACTTCGCCGGTAACGCGGTTGGGTGGAGGAGGGGATGATAGGGCATGCGGCGGAGCCTCTGCTATGCCTATTCGTTTGCGCTAAGCATCCCACCGAGACAGTGATCC